AAGACGGACGCCAGGTTTGAGCCGCTGCGGAGTTGTACCAGTTGGCCAAGATGCTGTTTGACTTCATCTGCCCGCAGGAGTACGGCATCTCCGATACAGAGAAGCTCGAGATTGGTCTTTTGACATCGCTACCCCTCTTGAAGGAGATTGTTCAGGACCTCGAGGAGATGCAAGCCTCCAATGATGCCAAATCTTTCTTCTACTTCACCAAGGAGTCTCACATTTACACGTTACTCAACACCATTCTGGAGGGTGGCCTTGAGACGAAGATCAAGCGGAGCACCATCCCTGAACTGGACTATCTCTCGCAAATTTGCTTCGAGCTCTACGAATCAGAGACAAAGGTGCCAGCTGATGTGGCCACCCGCGGCGATGAGGCTACCTTTGCGTACAGCATCAGGATCACCATCAGCCCTGGCTGCCACGTATACGATCCTCTCGATGTTCAGCTCGACAGCAAGCACTCCATTAGCTGCGCCCCTCGACGAAGCTTAACCTTACATGCCGATTGGATGGAGGTGATCCGCACCTTGCGTGCCAAGTTCAACCAGTGAGTATTATTCCTTGTGAGATCTCGGCACGATGTCCCACCCACAAACGAGGCGCGCGTTGTCATGCTAATTCTTTTGGTCTACCAGGGTGAAATTGCCCAAGACTTTCCTGGCTATCAACCTGTCTGATCTCTTCTCATATGATGAGCAAGAGAAGAAAGACGTCGATTCGGACGGGCTGGAAATGAAGAGCCTCGCACGCCAATCTGCTCCCAAGAACGTCCCGGGAGAGGCCGGCGATGTGTCTGGCCTAAGCGATATCACCGCGGGTGATGTGCTCGAGAGCAGCACGGAGCTAGCGATGACACCGAACGCAGGACATGGTCAGCCGTCCGAGCCATCGCTATAATTACGAGGAGGACTGCATATCTGGCGCCCTGACGCGTGAGCGTCAATGTGGACACACGCGCGACATAGGCTGTGGGGGCAATGCTTGGACAAGTTGATCTGATCCTGACCTCCTCCTGCAGGCGGGCGCGGTTACCAAAATGAGGAGGGCAGAGGTGAGACGAGAAGAAAAACAGGCAATAGACACAACAATGCGCATGACTACCGACTATTTTATCATTATTCTAGGTCACCGGCTGTTGTATATCCGGTTGAAAGATTCTAGACGACACGCGTATTTGGGGGAAGGCTTTGCAAAGAACGACTGTACGTGGATGGAGGCAATCATGTGTTTAGTGTTGTCCAAGGTGCGCCACCCTCACGATTAGAGATACGTAGACGTAGATCCATACACATGGCGTCAATCACAAACCGTTCAATCATCAAGAAGAGGAAGAGAAAATAGATCGAGGTGTTTTCGTGTAGTTTCTTTTTGGGGGGGGTTCTTTTTGGGAAGTGCACGCAGCCCCGGCCTGTGATGATCGGGATGGCTTCCAAGAGAGCTGTGACGTGGACAAAACGAGGAGATGCCGCAGGTTGTATGACGGGCGAGCCGGAGCCGAGCTCGGATCGGGCAACTGGCCCATCGAGGCGGCATCGTGACAAGGCTGGTTGCCGGTTCCAGATGGAGAGATTGGGGCAGGAGTGACTGTCGCAGGTGAGCCGATGGAGAATTTATGCGCGG